CACCCTGCACCCCTTGGAAGCAGCCCTGGCCCAGCAGCTCCCCCAGGTGCCTGTGACCCCATGCCCACTCACACTGACCCAGGAACCACTTCTCAGCCAGCTAGTTGAGCACAAAAGGGGTAAGGGGCGGTAGCACAGGGAAGCACTTGCAGCAGCAGGCCCACAGCTTGTGGTGCAGGAAGCTGCAGCAGTAGCTGTGGCTGCATGGCACCATCACCAGCTCACTCAGGAAGCCCCAGCAGCCACAGGAGCACAGCAGCGCCCCCCACACATACACACCCTTGCCCAGTGCCACCTTTGGGCCAGCCCCGACCACAGCCCGTGAAGCAAGTGGTAGTGCAGCACCAGGCAGTTCACAAGGGCATAAAGGCAGCAGGGCCCTGGCAGCAACCCAGGGTGCAGCACTTCCTTGAGGCGGCTGCCCAGCACCAACAGGACCCCACGCCAAAGCAGAAGCTCCTCCTCCCTGCCCTTCCCACCGGGATGGGGGGGCAACAGCCTGGGAGGGACTGCCCAGGGCCCGGAAAGGAGACTCAAGTGGAGAGCAGGGGGCATGGCCATACCCCATCCAGAGCCAGTGCTCTCAGCCAGGGAAGTGGGGTTGAAACCCCTCCCTGGCCTCAGACCCCAGGCCAGGGTTTGCTGGGTGAAGCAGTCCCTCCCAGGTTGTTGCCCCCCCACCCCGCCTCGTGCCCCCAGCCCTTCCACTCCAGCCCCTGCCAAGTAGACCCCAGCTGGGGTCCCATGCCAGTGGAAGAGGGGATTCAACCCCACCTCCTTCCCCTGTGCCTGAGCCTGCCAGCTGATGCCTCTGCTCCAGCGGGGAAAATTCTAGTAGGGGCTGCCCCCGCTGCTGACCCAGCTGTGGTCCCCAGCCAGGTTTCCCACCTCCACCCCCTTGTCAGCCAGCCTGTCTAGGGAACAGATGGGCGAGGCCAACCCTGCTCTCTGAAGCAGACAGCACAACCCAGCCCAGGGCTGCAAAGCATCCTGTGATGCTGAGGGACCATAATTTAACTTGAACAAGGAAGGGGTCTGGCACAGAAGTTTCATAAACTGGTTTAGCCTAAATCATTTAAGTCTGATACTATATTCAGCTAGGTTTATCTTAAACCAGTTTCAGCCATTTTGAAACTGGTTTATGTGCACTGAATGTCTGTTGTTACAGGTTTAAACCAGTTTCTGAACACTTAAACCAGTTTATGTGCAACTTCTGTCCCTAGCATAGTAGCTGCATTTTGCTGTCCCATGACGGCATGCAAACTGATATCCTATATGTTAAAAAAAACATCGCTTCCAGATGTAACAAGGGATTCAATGTGTTCACCCACATGTCTAAAAAAAGAAATGCAAAATTTTCTTCTCAGAGTTGAGGTTTGGGAAGACATTAACTTGTTTGAATACACACACACACACACACACACACACACACACACACACACACCCACGCCCTCCTCCAACAGGTTGTTGCAACTCAACGTTTCCCAACCAGTGTGCTGCGGCACAAAAGTGTGCCATCAGAAATGAACAGGTGTGCCACAGAATTTTAGCCATGGCAATGAGCTACAATAGGTACGAGGATGGGGAATGCCTTAACAGGTGTGCCATGGAAAATTTTTATTAATGTAAGTGTGCCTTGGGCTGGAAAAGGTTGGGAAACACTGTTGTAACCAACAAAATTCTGACCACTGCAAGTTTTAGAAAAAAAATCAGGAAACAAAATTGCAGGGGTGAAATTTGCAAGGCAGTAGAATGCAACTGATATGGAGTAGAAATAACATTCCTTGAATACTTCAGTGAATAAAATTATGAAGAGCTGCAAGTCAGATATCCAATCTACCTAATAATGCTTCATGGCTTGGTACTTCCTTGAAACAGTGATTGTTTGCACTAGCTGAGAATTAAATGTTTTAACACACTTCAGTGCTCAGCACTGTGCTTTCGTTAAAGAAGCTCTGCCTCCACAAGGTGCGGTAATAGACTTCATTTAACACCAAGAAGAGAAAAAGTTACCTATATAATTTACTCTTCCTGGGCAATCTGACACGCACAAAAATGAACTACCTGTTTTTAAAAGGTCTGTGTGCTTGGCAGCAGACCATGTGTCTGTTACAGGTTTCAAAGAATTTACATTTGAAAAAGTTACCAACCAGTGAGTAATACTGATAGTTTTTAAATATAAACTTTTAGAAGTCAATTGGGCATCTGGCTTTTAAATCAAACTTATCTCCAGACAAAACTATCCAGTCTCACAAAGTCAAAAAATACCTCCTAAATACTTGGCATTCAGTAAAACCTTACATCAAGATTCTTGAAAATGTCACTCCCTCAGACCAAATAATTTTTTTTTCTCAGCAAGTGCCTGCTGCACAGTCTACTGTAAGTTTCTACCCCTTGTGATTAATAAAGTTAACTCCAAAACAAGAACTTGAGTATAAGCTCACATAGTCTGCCTTCCTAAATTTGCATACACACAGGTCCCATTCCTCTTCCTTCGTGCTTTTTACAGTTACAGCATTATTGGTCTGTTTAGTTTTCAATGAAGCAACTCCAAACCATATATAATGCTAAACCTGACAAGGCTCAAGTCAGTTATATGTGCAACATCTTGAGAAAACTGAATAGCAGCAAAGTCAGATGCTAGAGCTGGTAACTGGGGAAAACCAGCCAGAAAAAATGGTAGATATGAAAAGTTCCTCTTGCCCGTCTGTGAGCATGGGAGGGAGAGATAGAATACAACCTTTTTCTTCAAGAAGTCAAAGAAGAATCTGGATGTCATATTGACTTCTCCCTTCCACTTGCTCGGTTTCTCTGCCGATTGATAAATTTTGCAGTCCACATGTGTGAGGGTCAATGGAAAAAGTAAGTAGATGTGAGCTACTCACAAATGTGCATTGGTGAATGGATGTGGGCAATAGACTGGATATGGACAGCTGGAGACAGATCAATTCTGGCAGAAGAGAAAATAACAAAGAATGCACAATGGGCCAGAGAGAGAGAAAAACATAGCAAAATAAAGCATGGAAGAGAAGGGAAAGATAAGCAGTAAACAGAAAACAATTCAGATGTTTCAGGAATGTAAATGGGGGGGGCAATCAGCTGTAGCGTTAATTGCCATGGCTCTTGGAACCACAGCAGTTGCCACTAATCCCACCACCAAATTTCCAGCCCATGGGTTGGATCCAGAGAGCAGAGTTATGTCATTTGTCCTGCAGAACTGCCCACAGGTCATAAATGTGGTAGCAGGATGAACAGTGGCTGCTGCGACAATTAACACTGTCATCACTTGTACCCCTGCCAAATTTCCAACCCATGTGTCAGATGACATAGTTCCTTGCTCCAGATCTAGCTTGTGAATTGGCTCTGGCCAAATGAGCTTGACACCCCTGATTTAGACAGTAAAAAACAGAATGAAACCTAACAGGAAAGAACACCAAACACCATAAGGCATTGAAAATAAATAGTTTAACAGGTGGAGGATAAGTATAAAGTATAGTACACTAACATTCAATTCCAGTCAGTTGCAGGTACCCTAATGGATATGAAAGCTCTTGCCCCTTTACCCTCATATTACTGCAGCGACTACTTACAATAGTGCATGCAGTTTAAAGAGAATTAAGACTGTGATTGCAGTGGTAACCTTAAAGTCATCCTAAAACTCATGCATGAGAAGCATCTACACTGCAACGCCCTTAGTTTGACTCCAGTAGTCCAGCTCAAGCCTGGAAGTTCTGCTGAACTAGTCAAAGCTGCCCCTACTCATCTATTAGACCTCCCCTTTCCATCCAGGTGTTGTTGGCCTTCAGCATGTAGGATTTCCACCGACAGAATTCCTACAATTCCCTGTACCAGACCTGCAGTCCTTCCGCATCCCCATTTCCTTGCTCAACTGCACATAAATGGAGACAAGCCATCCAATTCCTAAGAGGACTCTAGTTCACAGGTGAGCTGCATAATATGGATAGCTTTGGTGTAGGCTACAGGGTAGGATACTGACAGGCTGGTTGAGGGTGACCTAAAGGTGAACCCTAAATATCTTTGTTGAAATAATTTAAGTGTCAAACCAGTGGCAAAATTGGGATCAGGGTGGAAGTCCTCATTTGTAGTCCCTGATGTAATCATCAGACCATGGTCCTTCTTAAGATTGCTGTTCAAAGATGTATGTGCTCAACCATTTTAACAAATCCAACACATTCAAGTTTAGTAACCATGTTTCTAACCATGAACATATAGGTACCTACTAGATTTGTAAGAAAAGGATTTAATCTATACCAGTGGTTTTCAACCTTTTTAGATTCAAGGTACCCTTTGGAAAATTCCAGCTCTTATTTTTCACACTCATTTTTCTTGGTTTTGGAAAAAGAAAAGCAAATCTGTTGCAAAAAACTCAGAAATACCATGAATGTTTTTGACACTGTGGATTACTATGTGAATTCTCTGGGTTTGTCCTGTTAATTATGTAGGTGTTTGCGCTTCTAACAGTGATAATATTGAGTAGCACCACATGGCACCCTTGAAAGGATTTTGCAGCACCCTGACTGAATCATTGATCTATATATACCCTTCTTATGCTATCAACCTGTTGACCATAAAGTGATGTGGCTAAACCAACTGCTGCTTTTTCCTGCACCCTACCAACCCTAGAAAAAAAGTATTTGTTGCAACATCATCCTTCTTGGACAACAGCAGGATAAAATACTGGTATTATAATTCCTGCATTGTTTCCTATGAAAAGCTCGAGGACCCAACCCTTCTTTTAGGATGCTGTCTGAACCCATACAAAGAACCGTGAAACAGCTAAAGAAGGTCAGGTAAGGTAAGGCAATAGAAGCAGGAGGTAACAATACAAGAGGGAAAAAGATTTTAAGCTCTTCTAATGGAATTAGTGTCAAGGAAGGCATCCCTGATCTGCATCCCTACACAAAATTTTTAAAAAAGAAAGAAAAGAAAAAGGATTAAATATCTCCCCTAAAAAGGCTATTTATGCAGCATATACTCACGTAGATTTCATTGTGGTCAAAGCGCTTTTTGAGGTTATTGATGAATGTATCTTCATTGAGAGGCTCTAAAAGCACCATATCTCCCACCCCAATCATGTTGTCTAGAAGTGATGTCTTTGCCTCCATTTTGGCCATTTTCCTTTCTAAAAGAAAGAACAGAAAACAAATTTGAGAACACTAGCTTAAAAGGGTTCTCTTTATACACAGAAACCTACCAGCAATCCTTCTCATCACCACACAAATATAAACTCATCAAATGACTTCGATTAAAAATGTTAGATTTTAAAACACTAAATATATCTGGAATGTTGATATTAGTAACAATTCAAGAAATGTAGTCCATTGTCCCAAAAATGTCATTCTAGTATGTTCTACCTCAAACAGTCAACTGAGTGATGATTTCAACAGGTTAAAACTCCAAACCTCCTCCTCTTTCAGGTTTATTTTGTATTTTGTTTGCAACCCTGTTATGATATGCTGCTGTTCCCCTAAGCCTGTGGTCACCAGCCGGTCGATCCCAATCAACTGGTTGATCCTGGAGCCTCTGAAAGTCGATCTCAGCCCCTCCAGACTGAGATCAACTGTCAGAGGCTCCATGATTGGGAGCAGCAGGACACACACAGGGAGTGGCAGGACAGCGGCAGGCCACATGTGGCTGGGCTGAGCCGTGCCCCTTGCCACTGGGGCTGGGCTGGGCAAGTGGGATGATCCCTGTCTGCGCTCTCATCCCCTGCCACCAGGTGAATGGGGCCATGGCTGGGCTGGAAGAGGGTGGGAGTCCAGTCGGCTCGTCCAGGTGCGGGGGGGGGGCTCCCGCTGCTGCACGCACCCAGGCGGAGGCTCAGAGGGCACCTGCCGCCCCCCCCCCAATCTTGTGCAGGGCTCAGGATGCAAAGCCCAGCATGCCATGGTAGCCGCCTCTGCCCCACGCACACACCAGGGAGGCATGTGCCCCCTGGCTCTCCGCTGGGATGCGTGCAGTGGAGGAAGGCCCCCCCCAGTGCCTGGATGCACCACCCAGGCTCCAACCCTCCCCCAGCCCAGCTTGGCCAGGGCCTCACTCACCCCTGCCCCTACCCCACTCCCTCCCTCACCGCAGGGCCCTGGGGCAGGGACAGGTGCTGCACAGCCGGGGCAGGACACGGGATTGAGCCAGGAGTGGCTCATCCGGGGAGCACAGCCCCTGCCACTGCATGCATGGGAGGCACAGGGGCTGTGTGCCTGAGATCAGCGCTTGAGGTGAGGGCCGGCTGTGGCTGAGGGTTGGGGTGAGTGGATCCTGTCTGTGCCCTGCTCCCTCCCTCAATCTCCCCGCCCCCACATTTTTTTTTTCCTTCCACCTATGCAGCACTGACCTCGATCTGCCTCCCCACCAGCAGGTCAGGTGGGTGGGGGGTCACAGTAGATCCTGGGTTTCCCTTTACTTCAAAAAGTGATCTTCACCTTTAAAAGGTTGGAGACCACTGCCTTAAGCTATCTGTTGTTATGCCATACAGAGCTGTTCAACTCCTGCTTTCCATTCTTCACATAGTAGGCTAGGTCAACTTATTTTCTTTCATGAAAAAAATAAAGGGAGGTGTGTGCGGGGGTGCTATTAATAATTTATATAGATATGCTTCATATTAAGTGCCCCAACTTCACAGCTCCTGTCAAAGAAAGATTTCCCACTGACTTGATGACCTGCTTATGAGAAGCATTTACTTTCAACTAAAATTAGATAACTGCATTGCAACTTACACATAGAAATCATAGAAAATTAGGGTTGGAAGGGACCTCAGGAGGTCATCTAGTCCAACCCCCTGCTCAAAGCATGCTCTCCATTATATCAAATGGAGAATGCTGAGAGATTCGTGAAGTCGTTGCTTTTAGTAGATGAAAGTGAAGGCATATGAAATGTCAGTACTGTGATTTGAAATCACCTTTCCCTTCCCCACACCAGCCCAAACTTGGGCTTTTAGGTGTTAAACTTAGTTGTGGGCTTGAGTCAGACAACAAAGCTATTTTAAAATAGAAAGATACAGATACACTGGAAAACTCAATGTTTCTTAATAAAACTTTTTCACAGTAGGAAAAAATTATTCCAATACATTGATCAACAGCTAGAAAGATATACTTGGACATACTAGTGCTTTAAACTGAGGATGTACAAGACATACTACAATTTATTTCCAACCTCATTTACAGAAATCCTACATATTTCCTTAAGAGAAATTAAATACAAATGACAAAGGAAGGGTTTTGCAAGTGAGAACAGTTATAGCACCAACTTCTTCTTACTGAAGGGGTGGTTGGAAGAAAGAACCAGGATCCAAATAAGAACCAAGCCTTCATGTGGAAAAGTAAATCAAACAAAGATCTACATATAAAACTAAGGACCAGCCTGAATTTCAATACTTAGTTTACCCTACCAGACTTATTCTAATACAAAAATTAGCAAAGATTAAATGAGCTTTGTCACAACCCAAAGGGTGTGATTTTTGTTTTTGTGTGCTTCAGCACTGCTAAATTGTTCCCGCTAAATTGCAGCTTCTTTGCACGGTGGAGTTTTCTGCTGCAAAAGAGAACCCTGGTGCAAAAGAATTCCCGCCACCAGTAGCTTTCTTTGCAGGGTGCATTTCTTTGTTGCAGCACAGAAATGCTCGTTGCAAAGAGTTCCCGCCATTTGTATGCTAATTCGAGCCCCATTATTGGCCAGTTCTAAATTATTCACACGTGGCGGCTAGTGATTGGCTTGCTAGCCGTATAAAAGGCTTGAGTGGTTTCCGCCCAAGTTGGAGGACTCCACGAACACCAGGAGGAGGAGACTTCACGCTGTGTGAAGATCTCTAAGCACTGCGGATCCTTACGGACCCAGCGCATTTCAAACAGGCAACAGAGGTCTGATCAGCCTCTAGCCTCTCCCCGTCGCCAATAGATTCCTAGACGTATCCCTCCCTGCGCGCAAAAGAACCGGACCCACGGAGCCTAGCAAACTTCGTGTGAGTTCAGCTGGAACAACTGACATAGTTGTTCAGACGACCGGACTACCTCAGAGCACAAGTTCCACGGAGCCTAGCAAACTTCGTGTGAGTCTATTCAGAGCTCTTTTGTACGAGTACTTTCTCTGGTTGACACGACGGGCTCGCGTGTTTAGAGCCTTCAGCCGGATTGGGCTAGAGTTCGCGAGTTTAGAACTCTTGTCCGCCTCTCTTCTTTCCTGTCTATAACCTCAACTCAAGCAAGTTTTCCAGCCTGCACCGCAACCATCTCCGGTGTAAGGAAACAATCTTTCAATCAACCATTATGAGTCCTTGCCTAATTCTAGCGTGTCGCGTGTTCTCTCCGACCCCGCATGCCCAGGCTGCTGGCCACAGCCCGCGCAGAGCACAAAAAGGGGCCCGGCTCGCGCCCGGCCCGCACAAGCTTGAACAAGGATTTTAAGTAGTACATTTACAGTTACAGTTTATTAGAGCCCAGACAGAAGTGCTGAATTACGTACACATGAACAGCACTGCTGACAACCCTACTTGGAACATGTTGAGACTATTGTGCAGTCATAAAATTATAATACTAGAATAGCCACATCAATCAGTGGCCTTGCAATAATAAGTATTACTTTGGCAGTCATTTCTCCACAACAAATTCTGGTTCTAAATATTTTTTCTCTATTTGTGAGATCAGCTAGATCTCTAGAGTGTCATTAGTTTATATGATCAGTATTAATTCAACTGCTTGTAAACCAATCACCACCACATTTACATAGTTTTTTATCAGATTAAATTAAAGCTACTCAATCTTTTTACCTCTTCTTTGTATCCATAGTCACCACATCATTACTCACTATTTGATTTTTGAGGGCTGAAATATCCCTCAAGTCATCGACCAAGACTCAAGTCATGTTTGATGTTATTCCAAATTCAACCAAGAAAATTTGCAGCTCCACAGGCAGCTAACAGAAGTAACATTTACAAAATTCCACAACCTTACCAAGCCTGGGAATCATTAGACATTCACATGGAAATGCAAGAGCAGTCTCACAATCATTCTACCCTGTGGTAATCAACATGCTGGGTCAGTCTTTCTGTATAAACAAGAAGGCATTTCCTTGAACATTAGAGAAACCCATTTCTAAAAAAAAATCTGTTTGTTCCTTAAAAGTTCAGCTCCCTGACTTAGCAAAACAAACAAACAAACTAACTAACTAAAGAAAACACCCAAAAAAGATTTATATCATAGATATGATTTAGGTTTCGTCATCTTTAAACTCAACTCAGTTGAGCTTCTTCTTTAAACTATTGCACACTATTAAAGTATTGTAACTATACTATTTAATTGTGTATTTACTCTCTGTGGGATTTTCCCTGCAAGCAACTTTCATCTACTTTGTTTAACCAAAAAACATTCTTAAATATGGAATTTATTAAATGCTGGAGGCAGTATAAAAAACTGGTGAATGCAAAAATCCTAACATGACTAACAGTAACATAAAATTAAATCTAACCAGTATTGCCATCTGTAACAATAAGCTACCTACAATCCTAAATGCATCATTGCTATGGAATTTCACAGCCAGAAGTAGCAAAGCCATTATATAGCATATTCATGTATTGCTAGATCGCAAGACACTTACAAAGGAAGTGCAGACAATCACTTTTCCCATTATTCAAAGCTAGAACAGTATACATCCTACATACAACAATCTACTGAAAGTATTTGAAGAGTTCACCATAAATCTGAAATTTAAAGATCTGGAAAAAGTTTTAATTAAATCGGAACATGTCTTCATATTAGCTTAGTAATATTTCATCAGTCACCATTTCTATCAACTTTAAAAACAGAAAGATGTCAAAAATCTCGATGACAACCAAACTGGGATACAGCTGGCGTGTCTACATGTGACACTACATCACTATAGCAACGCATTATGGCAACAGCATCCGCAGACAAAAACTGTGACGATACCACTACACTGACATAGCAATTTGCTCAATACAGTGCAGGGGTGGGCAAAATGCAGCCCATGGGCCAGATGCAGCCCGCGGGGCCCCTAAAAAATTTAGAAAATTAATATTTATCTGCCCCTGGCAGTCTGTCATGTGGCCCTTGATGGCTTGCCAAAACTCAGTAAGCGGCCCTACGCCCAAAATAATTGCCCACCCC